TGTCTGGAGGAACCCCGGAGAGTCGCAGAATCCAAGCAGCTTAAGGTGCAGAGAGAAGTTTTAATGGTGAGGGGCAATTCCAGCAGCCATGCCAAGCCAAGCCACGTCTCCGTGTGTTTGTAAAAAGCTTTTTGTTGAAAACATCATATATGCACTACCAACATGGCTGTTTTTTAATAGTCCCTTTAAAGCCTTTAGCTTTAAAGGGACTATTAAAGGTTTCCTTTCTCCTATATCGTCTACATTCTTGATCACTGCTACACTTTATAAATGGTAATGTTCATTTCATTTCACTGTTTTAAGTTGCTCATTCACTGTCATATGCTGTATGCATCGAAATTTGATTTTGTATACACTCTGTTTGTTGTTCTTTTTTTAAATACATCTTAATGTCTAAATTGATTAATTGGTATATTAATTGATAACTGACTCACTGCCTTCTAGGCTAAAATTGCTATGAATATGCAGTAGTTTGACATATTTATAGACGTTATTAGAAGCCTAATGTGGACCAGTTTCAGCTGGAACTTTCAAGGATAGGATATAAACAGAATGAGCTGGACTCAAACCCATTTAATTATTACACATGGTGTCTACAGGATGAGCTAAACAACTTCATAATTCATGATGCAAAAATAGCAGCCAAGTACAGGATTTTTTTCTCTTGTTATTGTTGTAAGAGAATTTTAATTATTCTTTTTCAGGTACAAATTAAACTCCTCTCCTCATCTACTTCTGAGATATTCTGTCAGTCCAACATCTTTTCTGCAAGAAACTGTCGCAGTGGTAAAATGTGGCAAAATGTGTAGATGTATGTGTAAAACTGTTATGTTCCTTTTAGTGAAAAAAATGAACTTTGGGGTGATATCAAGAAAGTCCCTTGTCAATGTGCAGCCACCTACAGCTCAGATGATCGAAATAAAAGAAATAAGAATTAGTACCCACTCTAAGAAAACTCCAGTTTACTTTTCAGCTAACCTAAAACCAACACCAGGTAACCTTGTCCTGGATGTCAAAATACAGCCTTCAGCACCTAACATCTTTTTTCATGTATTTACATGGCTGTTACATTGACATTTCCCTATCACCAAATTACTGTTTCCCTGACAGAAGCAAACACCTCTCTAGGGAAGCAGTGGACCCTGTGAAAAATCGTTTAAGAAGAGTCAACAAAGTGTGAGGTGTGAGGCTAGCCTCTAAATTCTCCCGATAACCATTGGGCCTTGATAATATCAACAAAAGGCAAGCACGATTTACAAACACAAGATACAGAGCCCAATAGCTTTACTGGTTCAATTCAGGGTGTGATTCCAGAACTCTCTATGTACATTTTAATCTCTGAAACCCAGATAAGGCTGATACAAACACGCAAAAAATTGCTTTTGGTTATGTATACACATTTAATTAAAAAAATGTAGAAAAAATATAACCTTTAATTTTGGTGCATTTATGTAAAATCTTTGTTGACATGTATTCTCACCAATGCTGTTAATAGCTGGTACAACCTAATTAATCCAAAAATAGACACAATCCTCTCCTTTAACATGTTTACAAGCCTATAGAGAAAGGGATCTTTAACGGTTCTTCGTACAACGTACAAATTTGCATCATTGATCTTCCATCATACTTAATTGTGAGCATGAGGTTATTAGCTACATATTCATGCCTTATTTCTCACCGAACCCAGCTAATGTTTGTTACTAAAAAGGTCGATCTTTTTTCCTAACCAAAGCACACAGCTCTACTGTAGATACTCTGTGCCATTCTATCAAACAGATCAGTGTGTGGATGCAAAACAACTTCCTCCAGTTAAATACAGATAAAACTGAGGGAATTCTCTTTGGATCACAAAAACCTAGAGAACCTATCATTGGTCATCTTAAGAGTCTTTCATTAGAAGTAAAAAATCAAGTTATAAATCTCAGAGTACTCAGACCTGAATTTCAAAAGTTATATTAAGTCCATTACATCAATGGCCTATTACCATCTAAAAAACATTACTAAAATAAAAGTGTCTAAATCAGACTTGGAGAGATTAAGCCATGTACTTGTCTCCTCCAGGTTAGACTATTGAAAAGACCTGTTCACTGGCCTTTCCAAGCAATCTGTTAGACAACTGCAGTTTATCCAAAATTCTACAGCTTAAGTCCTCGCCAGAACCAGGAAATATGACCATATTCTACTTTGTAAAACCGAAGGTCTGGAACAGCCTCAGTGAGGATCTAAAACAAGCCCCAACCCCGACTCTGTCCCCATTTACACTATCACTTCATTTATTTAATTTATATATATATTTACTTTTTTTTTTAGCCGGTGTATTGTTATGTTAATGTGTGTTTGTCTTTATTAAAATGGAAAAATAACCAATAAACATATGTATAAAAAAAAAAAATATAAATATAACAAAAGTGTTTCTAAAATAAATTCACTGAAAAAAAAAAAAAAAAAAAAAAAGCTAGCATGGTTCCTTGCCTCCTATAGGCGGTCCATGACACTACAGCTCTCAAGGCGGGAATTACCCAAACAAAAATGGTGACGCCCTTGACATTCAGCAACTTACAGTATTTGTCTGGGTTGTGTCTTCCACCCAAATTTCAATGAGAGCCTCGGTCTTTGCATCATCCCAGGTTGCACTAGGCTCTTGTGATGCCATGTATTGTTAATAGGCTGGGAACAAGTTGGTGTTGTGAACAGTTGAAGAGATCGGTGAATTACAAAGCCGGACATGCCGTACAACCGGCGAACTGAGTCAGCTGACTGTAAATAGGAGATGACGCGGTCTGCTCATGCGCTCTTCGTCATCAGAGAACTGAGCCACAACTGAACTGTGCCAAGCCCTACTGTTGAAATAGTACTAGATTTAGCACGATTCGGTTGTATCTGGCATTGTCCAGTTCAGTTCCGTTCCATTTACACTCAACAGTTATCTCAATTACTGTGCACAGACCGTTCCAGGCATGGTTTCAAAAGGGTAGTATAAATAGGGCTGCTGTTTAAGTCCTGATTAAAAACATGCCTATTTAGGGTTACCTATGGTGATTGTGTATTTTAACTACTTTTAATCTATAATATATATATTCTTTATATATTTGTATTGATTGAATTTGTTTTATTGTGTTTCTATTGTTGGCGTTGCTGTGAGGCACATTGAGTTGCCTTGTACATGAAATGTGCTGTATAAATAAAGTTGCCTTGCCATGCTTACTTCAAATCACAGCTCCTTTTAACAATCTTCACAAGTTTACACTTGATAAGTACAAACAGAAAATGCTTTCCCTCTGCTCCCTCAAAAACACTTGAAATTAAGTCTGAAGATATATAAATATATTTCTTTACCTCATTTCCAAACCTGCATGTAGTGAAATAACTCAGAAATGTACTTTTGTGTCACACCATATTAACAACTACACGAAACAGGAAGTTACAGATTTTTTAATTCTCTCCTACTATTTATTTTGATCAAATAAAAAATGGTTTAATCAAATTAAAACACTACAGTTTAGTTATAATTACCTTAAAATTGATTGTAATTGTTACAAATAATTTTACCAGAGGTTATTCTATTAAAATCTGTTGTTTTTCAACACCCACTGAATCAATTTACTAACGTCAAGGTTTAGAAGAGTGTGAGATTCTACTAAATCCATTAAAGTTAATTAAATTCTAGGTCTGTCTACTTCTTTGAGTCCCAATGATTTGGTCTGAGTTTTTAAAAAAATTGAAAATGGGATTAAAGATATTAGCAGCTGGTCTTTATCTTGTCTGATTTTTTTAGATTAGCCTTCAAAATTATAAAGGAGCAAAAACAACAAGAGGATATTCAACTTAAAATTTACAGAAGGAACACTGATGCAAAGCTTGCTTGTCATGTTTGTCTAAAACATTGATCTTCAGAGGATAATACATTTCTGCTTTTTTTATAATCAGTTTTCTCTTCTCTTTTTACTTGTCACAATGTAGCAAAGGCTCACAGAGACCCTTTCAAAGCAATAGTAAGCTTAGACAAAGAGAGCGCTGAATACGTTTTGAGTTTTACTGAGTTATTCTCTGCCAGGTACAACAGGTCAAACACAGATGCTCTCACTACAGAGATGAAGCCCATCAAGCATAGACCCTACTTTAATAGTTGCCATGGAAACTAATAAACCATAAACTGCCCCTGCAATCAGGATTACTTTGTAATGTAGATAGTAATCTTGCTTGTGGGTGTGTAAAAACAAAAAACAAAACAAATATTTCCCCACTGTAGATAATAATTATAGCAATACACTGCAATAAAACAGAGAAATTAAGCATTTTTTTATGACTGTCTTTTGTAAACAAAACATAACATGCCTGTGTGTGTTTGTTACCCTTATAGCTGAGAGCAGATCAATTAGTGTACTGTTTGGTAAGCATGCTGCCTGTGGCACTGCTGCTATGAAATCAATAACTGGCTGAAACCCTGCGTGCCACTGAAGCATGATACTGCAAACAGAAAACACACTCAACTCTATTTCTTTGTCCCTTATTCTATTCCTCAGTTTCCCTTTGTCTTCCTTTATCACCCCAACATTAACACTATACTCCAAGTTAAATAGCTCCTGAGTGATTTTCTTAACTAAACCACAATGTGACAGGCCCACAGACAGTCTAATATACTGATTCCTATTGCTAGGTGGTTGCGGGGTAAATATAATGATATACCCCCCCTGCATGGTCTTTCCTGGGGTGGATGAATGACTTGAGAGGCACTCAACTGATTAACTCACTGTATTGTTGTAGTCACTCACCAGTCTGCCCCTGTATAAATTGGAGGGGAGATAGCAAAACCAAGACATGCTTTATTTTACATGTTGACCTTTTAATTTGCTCACTAAATTAAAGCAGACAATCTAAATATATTCTGAAAAGGGGACTTACATGAGTTTTTTTCCACACAGTGTTTTGATTTTATTGTTTAATGCAAATGGAACTCTCCGAAATTATAAAATATTAGAATTAGCAATGTTTGGACTTACAGGATGGCTGGGTGTTCTCCAATATGTCTGGGTAGCCTTATCATAGAGCTGCGTCCGTTTGTCCATCTGTCTTTCTTTCATTTGTAGTGAAGATGAAGCCATCTGCTGTTGGCACTGACATCTAACCTGCCGTCCTTCGTAGGCCTAAAATACAAGTAGGGTAAATAAAAAAACATGGTTTTTAAATAGTGAAAAGAGTGATTCAAGAAGCACAAGACAGGCATATTTGTTGTTATCTACATATTTAATATTATACATCAAGGCTCTAACATACGACTACATAGCAGCTAATACTTGGATAAATACGTTCCATACACACATTTACAGTGAGTAGGATTACTGATTAATGTTCTCTACCCATATCAAATCTCACTTTTTAGAGAAAACAAGTTTGAACCTTTTTCCTAAACGTTGTCATACCTTACAGTAACTTTACTTAAACTAAAAACAAAGTTTGTACCATTCTTTCCCACCATTTATGAAAATGCAGATCATTTTCATTTTTTTGAGCCCATACGATTTTACATTATCTCTGTAATCATACCCTCAGTCTATCTCAGCAAGTTTTTGTATGGTCATGTTGTTTGTATGTTCATGTCTTTCTAGCAGTACATTATACAGTAATTGTAAGGTTTGAAATTCTAAAAGACAATTTAAACAAGTAGGAATTAATGAATAAAGGATTGGTGTAATTTTACTGAATTGTCTGAAATTATAGTAATTTATTTGTTCATTCATATTTACCTTCAGAAAGTAGTTTGTATTTATCAATGAAGTCCTCCAGTCTGCTACTAAAGGTTTTCTTTCGAAAATCTCGAAAAACCGTGAAAGTAATAAAACAGGCCTATAGTGAATTGGTGTCTACCTCCAGTTTAATAAAAATGGTATCATTTTTGCCATTTTCATCTGTTTGGAAATTAACCAATTTGGAAAGAAAGCCTATATAGATATACGTCAGGGTTTTAGAAACTGCACCAATTATACAAGTTTTTTTAATGCTTAACTTGACTTGGTTTATATCCCGTTCCAACTTTAATGTTTAAAGTAAAACAGAAATATTTTTGCATTGTCCACTAGTGGTAATATTTAGTTGTGTGAGCATCAGAGAATATTGTGGGTGTTAAATTAATAACTTTTTATGACTAATCTATAATTAATAAATAAGAGATGTGCTATTATTATTTTTTTTTTTGCAACCTGTCTGGCGTATATTAAAAAACAAACAACAACATTGATTTAGTTTATGTTTTTTATAATGTATCAATATGCATGTGGTGTGATGAGATGATATACCTGACCTCAGATACTGCACCAGTTTAATGTGAAGAAAGCCAGGAGAGCGTACATGATCTAAACTTTGATTAAAATTTGCAAGACATGATTGGAAATTCAAAAAAAGCTATAACCGCTTCAGAGAAACAATATTACATGATAATGTAGACATAATGTCTTAGAGAGTGGCAGAACTACAGGCTAAACCTGAGGCTGCTTTGGTCAAGTAGGACTTTAATAACAATTTTCACTTTCTAATAGCTCTGCTTTTCTCTCAGATTTTTCAATCTCAGCCCTCCACACACATATAGATCAGAGGAAGACATTTTGCAGCAACACACACCTCCATTTGTTTTCTTTCTCCATTATGTTGCATTCACTCAGCTGTTACCGACTTTAGCTTCCAAACAGCTTCTAACACCATAACAATTTCAGGAACAAACACCAAGACTTAAACTTTCTAATTCAAGTCGACCAAGCACTCTCCCTGGGCAAAAAAAAGCTCCTGCTGAAATTGGTTGTTTCTCTCAGCTAACCCAGACATTAAAACCCACCCTACTCCCCCCAGTTACTCCCCAAGTATTTTCCTACATATAAGGAAATCAGAGAATGAAAGCACACCATTTTCTGATTTTCTTTGTTGAATTTCCTCAGATAGCCTCAACACCAAAAAGTAATTTTTCTTTTCTTTTTCTCTTTGTCCTGACAAGTTCACTCTTACAACCTTTACACTCATTATGTTACTCCACAGAACAAAAACCCAGGTTTTTTTTTTTTGATTATTGGGAGTTAAGGTTGTGACAATACTGTGCAGCCTGAAGAGCTGTGGGTGGGTGTTGATTTTAATTGGCCACATAGCATGTCACTGATAAGCTGGTGGATAGGTCCTGCGTTGACATTTTGGTATTTCTCAGTATGGCAGTTATTTGAATAATGTCAGCCACACATATGATTTTTTTTCTGTTTTTAAGCCAACCAGAAAACACTAATAAATGTTAGGGGTGGAAATGAAACCAGTCAAAATCAGAGAAAATAAATATTGCTTGTAGTGTTGCCACACACAATGAGCAGTGTCTCTGCATGTCTACTGCTGCTATTAGGCAGCTGAGCAGCAGTCCTGCCATAATAGGCTCACATAATCATTGTATTCTCATTAATATTCTCCTTCTATACAATAAAACCAGAATTCCAGAAAGACACTGAATTTATGAAAAGTAATATAAAACCACCCATGTAAAGATAATTAAGATTTTTTCTTAAAGGTATAGTGGAATATGATCTTTTCCAGGTGGATCACCAAAATAAGTGGTCTTTCTTATTTTCAATTATTTTGGTGATATGTTTACATAAGGCCATCTTACGTGTTCGTCCCTATTTGCACGTACCGCTGGTGAATCTGACAAAGTTGAAAATTTGCAAATCTTCTTTTGTAAAGTAAGCTTTTATGAGCGATGCAAACAGGGACTTTTAAACAGAGCATGCACGAGGAGAAATGGGCTCGAGCATGCGTCTATTAGGCGTTCCTTCTTGGGAGCGGGTACAGGGTTGTGCATGCGCATTTTATTTTTTAATCGTCCACTATACCTTTAAATTGCATGTTTACATGATCATCATCATAGCATCATGATGACCAAAAAAAACAGCAGACATGTAAGATATAAAGTTGTGGAGAATTTTTAAGCTGTGCTAGAAAATAATAATAATGTTCTAAGTTTTCACAATCTCACAAAGCATTTCTCAATCCACCATTCAAAATTGAACTGAGAATTGGACAGCTGCAAATTTACCAAACCACAGCCATTCACCCAAATTGGCCAGGCAGGTGATAGGAAATTCTGCAGAGGTTCATAACTCAGGTGGATAAGTATCTTTAAAGAACATTAACTATACACTCTCCAAATCTCATCTATATGAAAAGGTAGAAGAAAATAATTTGCTGAACGAATTGCACAACAAGGATTGGGCTGGACTACATCCAGGTCAAAACATTACCACACTGCAGCATGGTGAAGGTGGGATCATATTCAGGAACTAAAATACCATCTTTAAACTGTTAACATAAGCTCCTCTCTGATTCTGTGTCTTTTTTATGTAAAATTGTGTGTTGTGGTGTTGGGCTTCATTTAAAACCTGATGGAAAATGTGGAGTGAAGGGTTTTTGTTTTTTCACTGTAAGCGCAACGGGAAAATCCCACAAGGGCATGCTCTCCTTAAAGTGAAATTTTGTTCCTCCTTCTGTATTGACGTCAATCATGGAAGAATGCCAACATTACTCTGTCTTGCTATCATCACTTACATATCTATTCCACTAAAAGGGCAGCTTCCTTCAACGTGCTAAGACAAAAAAGGGATTCAAATGAACTCTAACTTATTTATTTGATCTTATAATTATTAAAAAGTTATTTGAAGACAATATCAGAAGGATTATATATGTAAAATGCCAGGTTTTGACTCCACTAACAAAAATACAAACTGTAAGGTGAGCTCTGCAGACTGTTTACAACCGAGTCTTGGTAGAAGGTTAAAAATGTGCCCACGAAGGCATGCACAAAACAGTGACTCTTTCCCCATCTCATCTCCAAATAAATAGAGTCATTCAGGCATTAAATTTCTATTAGATTTGATAGCTAACCTGTGTATAATTTTCTCATACACTCTAGCTATTCATTTAATATAATTCTAATCTAAAAAAGGCTTAACTCTAATTTCTTTATTCAAGATATGCAGAACAACAGCGTCTCCCTGCAGTCTACTGAATACATGGCATGAATATTAATCATTTAGTGTGACTTTTTACTTGAATTAGTCCTGTTGATACCAACTCACCATTTGTTCTCGCTGATGATGCTGTTGTAGTTGTTGGCACTGCACAGTGAGCAGAGCTATCGTCTTTTCTCTGCTTCTCAGCTCCTCCCTGAGGACCTGCACTTCCTTAATCAGGGCCTCAATCTGAAAGCATAAACATACAGCATGTTACACTAATAGGAGACAAGATCATACGGGGGAATATCGGGGATATTTGCTCAATGCATACACGGTATTAGGTGTAAATCTTTGCTAAACCCAAGAAAAGTTTCTTACCTGTGAGGCAGCCGTATTGTCTTCCGTCTGGTCACAAACATCTGCTGGAGACCCTGTTTCTTCAAGCTTAAAACAGAAAAAAAAACACACGCACAGAGGGGGGCAAACAAACAGATGCAGGGAACAAAGTGAGCTGAATCAATTGCCTAAGGCATGCCTCAAAAGCAATATTTCATAACCGTGAAAGCATCTCACTCTTCCGTACAGATTCTTCTATGACCCTGAACTGCTAGGCACCAGTGCCGCATACTGGAGGCACAGTATGGGATTGAATATTCTATATATTTTGATTTTCTGAGACCAAAAACTGTCCTCCCCTAAGCAGGCTTATATAAGAACAGCCGATTTTCAGTCTGTTCCTTCTGACAACAAGCCAAGACTTTTTTTTTTGTCTTTGGTTTGACAGTTTTCACTCCAATAGCAATTCTTTTTTTTTTCTTGTCAAAATTAGGAATGGGTTGTCAAAAGTTTTAGAAAAATATCCGTTATTTTCATTCAAAGTCAACATGTACGGTTTAAAAGGGCATACTTTATGTTGCTGGAAGTCACAAATAGGTATTCAGTTTTTCATTTTGACACTTAGCTGAGAAAAACTTTACTCCAACACCCCGTTGAACCTGATGCTCATTAAAGTTACACTGGAATTATGGAGCAAAGTCTTGCAGAAGTGAAAAGAACTCTGAAATTCAGAAAAATGTGCCAGAGATAAATTTAGATTAAGCTAAAGAGGGTTTCTGGCAAACTGCATGCCTGGAGCTTAATGTAGTATAAAAACAAAAACAAATGGGAAGACGTTATGCTGTGGGCTAAGAAAATATTTCCCATCAATTGAATGGTTTGAAAATGAAAATTTAAACCAACGAAAGAGAAATATTCAAAACAAAATGCAAATATCAATGTTTAAGATATTCAGACAAGATCCTGCGAACACTGAAAGCGCTGTATTTTTGGCATAATAAACACTAATTTGATCTGGAAGGTGTAACTAACAAAAGGAAGCTCAAAGTCTACATTTTCGAATATCAACAGGTTTTTTAACAATTATGTAAATGAGGCACAGAGATGCAAAAGGCTATATAGTTGGAATTTTCTGTTGCGATATCGTAAGCCATGCCTGCAGTCAATTAGGGCTGCAAGAGAGCGAGAGACTTAAAGGAAGTAAGAAGGCTGAAAAGATTAAAATATTGTTGCTTTACTTTATCCTTCTGTTTGTCATGCAACATGTTAGGTTTGGAAATATGGCATCCATTGAAGTCACATTGACTTAAGGATAGAAACAAAAATGTACTACTAACCATGCTACTCTTTTCTATGAGATTCTAAAGACAGCTTGAATTGCAAATTCTTTTTTTTTTTGCTTTTAATAATAGTGTTGCACCAATACGAATACCAGTATCGGGCAGGGCCTCGATCAAGCACTAAAACGGGGGTATCGGTGAGTACCGACAAATAGGGCACCGATACCGTTTTGAGAGCCAAATGTTTGTTCAACTATTGTCACCCATTCCAGGTATGCAATAGAAAGTTCTACTGGATTCACTTTGTATTAGTCTATTTCCTGCTTCACAAAGGTAGGCAGCAGCTTGACAAAGCCATGATGGCAATTATTTTACATTTAGTATGCAGTTTGTCATATATACACACACATCAATTTCAAACAGATGGTATCAGTATGGTATCGGCCGATACTGCGAAGCCAGGTGTCGGGGCCAAAAAATTGCATTGGCGCAACACTATTAAATAACAGACAAAAAACTCTTATCTTCACTCTTACAGTCTGCTCCCATAGAGCTATATTTCTCAGAGTTGGGAGTGGAAAGGATAATTTCCTTGCAGACCTGATTTCAGTCCTATAACACAATTGTGGGAGTAGCTGTGGGTGGCCAAGCTAGTGGTCAAAAGCTAACGCTTGCCATTAGTTTTTCATATACCACTGAAGCCCCTGTTTGTTACTTGAATAAATTGTTTCTATAAACTTTAATCATTCAATCAAATGGCACTAAACAAGAGTTAATAGCAGGACAAGGCATTTACAAAGAGGATTTGGCAGGCCTTCCTTGGGTGCAACCCAAACGCATTTCACCTACAAATGTGGGACCAGGCTTTCTGACAATATGATGACTGCCAAACAGCATAATTAGCACATTTTTTTAATTTAGACAAAGATTAAGTCTGTTATCTTTTGGTATTTGGTTATTATGAGAGTTTTATTTATCATGTTTTATCTTGGTTTTAAAGTAATGTCCATCCATCCATCCATCCATCCATCCATCCATCCATCCATCCATCCATCCATCCATCCATCCATCAGCGTTTAAAGAGTGACAGAAAATGTAAACTGAGAACTTTTATCATGCTGAAAATGTAATAATGTTATAAGGAAGGTTGCAAATGTGGGTCCAACCTGCAGTAACGTTTTCAGCATGAGCAGTTGATTCTTCAGCATGCTGCAGTCCTCTGCCATGTGTTGAAGAGCAGGTTCATCCAGCATTGGTCTGTAGACTGGCTGCTTGCATTCAGACCGGACCGGGTGAGAGGGAAGCCTCAGATTCTTCTGACCGTCATAATTATTTAGGAAATGAAGCCTGAAAGAAAAAAAGAAGTAGGAGTTGGTGTAATTTTTCTACTGCTGTCATTTTACTGTTCACTTTGGTTATGGAAGCTTAACCAACCTGCTGTCATGGAAGAAGTGATCTGGACCACTCCAGCGGTGCTGCTTACGTCTCTGCCCCTGCCGGCTACCTCTGTCTGAGCGCTCCATGAGAGACATACTGTCAAAGTCTGTAGGGAAGGAATTTAGAGCAAAGGTAAGAAAGCAGCAATGAGCGTAAAGGTTTCTTAAACTTTATGCAGAGCAGAAAAAATTAGATGCAAAAATTATAGGCGAATCATATTTGGAAAAAAAGCAAAAGTTGGCAGCACATATGTAGCCGTTTCTTAAGCTATGACTTGAACAGAACTGACAACTAAACATGGTTACAAGGACATCAAAATGACTACAGCTTTTTCTAAGAGACACTGAAAAAAGAAAAAAAAAACTGGAAGCAGATAAAGTCTAAACCTTATTCAAATGAATTCAGCAGCCGTGTTTAACATACTTTACCCAGAGCGTCACTAAATAGCACAAGAGCAGACAACCGGTCTGATATGTAGCCGTTACATTCCTGGGAACTAAAGAGCCTCCAATGACTCTTTTCAGCTCAGATAAAGTCCTTTAGAAAGAAATACAAACCGAATAGAAATAGTCCATGAATTTAGATAAAGTCAGCAACAGACTGGAGAGAATCGACGCCCTGCCTAGTTAGATGATTTGTTAAAAGCTGGGGAAAAGCCAGCGCAGGTCCTGGGCTGTCTGACCCTGTCTTTGTTGACAGCCTTGTTTTTCTGGAAACTCCCTAGGAGCTGGAACTGGTGGAGGAGAGGAGAGTGAGGGGTCTGTGGTGGGTTCTGGTGAGAGCAAGGGAGGTGACTGGTTTGTGTCCAAGCAAGGAAGTTGCCAGCTGGGAGAGCAAAGCTGTGGCCTCTCTCCCTTCAAAGGGCCTGACAGCTGGATGAAAACATAAAGCAAACTTCTTTCTCCTATTCTCTCTATTTTTCCTCTTCCTGTTTTGTGTCAGTATTACTCTCTTTCCGTTGCCACATCTCAGGGGCTGCCCTGTGGGCTGGATTCAACTGAACTCCTCAATGTGTGTTACTGTTACTTCGCCTCTTGTGACACAAATTCTAGAAGTGACACACAGAGCTATAAATATGGCTGCTACCCGAATAGGAGTAGGAAGAGATGACGCTCCAAATGACATTCCTGCAGAGTGAACATTCCCTTCCCTCTAACCATCTCCTGTTCTCCCCAAGGAAATTACTGTTTACGTGCACTATATATGTGCTTTCAAGTTGTTTAGATATATTCTAGATGGTTATTTAAGCTATTATAGTTTAATCCAAGTTATACAAATTTTTGGTCAGCATTACGTATCTAACTTTTCTAGTTTAGCTATGGTAAAGAAGTTGAAAGATACTTCTGTTGGAACCAAAAGGAAAAAAATAAGCCTTGTTGTTACATAACAAAGAAAGAACCCTGTAACTTCAAGTCCTACATAATATATTCTAACGATAAATATAAATAAAGTCAGTTTTATGGGATTAAATAGTATCTGATATATGTGCAAGGTTCACAAAGGGTTCAGAACCAGACACTGCAGATTATGCAATGAAATTAATAATTTGTGCATCAATTTTTAACAGTCAAACATCAAAACAGATTACTCTTTTTTATATAAAGTTGATAGTATTTTTTTCTTTTTTTTAATGGTTAAGTTCCTGCAGTTTAATTGTTCAACTGTTAAAAATGTTGACGAGGGAAGGGACTTCCTAGAGAACCAAAGGTGGGCCTGAAGAAGAGTTTGGGAACCACTGCCATAAATTTCAACTTGATTTTCATATAAGCAGGAAAGCTTCTTACACAAGTTTGCTGTGTCTCTTACAATGCTTATGGCAAACTCTACACAGGCCTTATATATTATTTTGAGCAATGTTTTTTTTTCCTCACCTTTCCTGAACAATGATTATATTTTAAAGTGTTTGGGGTTCCATTATTGTCAAATATGTGTCTATGTTTATGTGTATATATTCTTGTGTATGTGTTATGTGCTTATTTCTTAGTAAGGTATATATGTCAGGTAATAATACTAGGTTTATGTTAGCTGCTCATGTTAGGTGCATATTTGATCCGACAAGCTTAGCTTGCCAATCTATAGGTAGTGTCTCATATTTTCTTTGCAGTACATCTCAAGCTCCATCAGGTTGGATGTTAGATGTACGTCTGCCATTTTCAGAGATATGCTTCACACTCCAGTCTGGACTCAGGATTAACCACTCCAGGAGATTTATATATGGGCTCTGATTCACTCCTTTGAGATCTTAGCACATAAAATGTACACCTAGCAGAGAAATAGACATATTTTTGGCACTAATGGAACCCCATAACGGAGTGCACAGATTATAGTTGTCTTGCCAATAGATTTCACCATAGCAGCAGTGCACCTATAATATTCTGAAAGTCCTGCAGAGTAACTGATACAACTTAGGGGTTTGTCTTGGTAGGTTTGCCACTGTGCCCTACTCTGTATTTGTATAGTATGTATATATGAACAGAGATTATGCAGCTTGAGATAATCTATTACCAAACCCTGCTTTAAACTTTATCCATCCACATTATATAATTTCCCAACTGATGTTCTCTAAAAAACCTTGAGAGCTCTTTATGTCTGAAATTAGATTCCCCGTATATATTATTAATATTAATATTAATCACACTAATTATTAATAAGGTTATTACTAAAGCCAGTTCGAATTTACCTTTTGTTATTTAAGAGTATTACACTTAGGGGTCTGAAAGGCAAATGAAAACCACACATTTTAACATCTTAACCAAAAAACAAACAAACATATTTTACATTTTGTGTTGGTCTATCATATAAAATAACACCAAAACAAGTTAAAATGAGTGTTTGTAATGTGAAATGATGTTCAAGTTGAAGGAAACTTAAATGGACATACAGATCACAAAAATAAAGGATCAGTTGTGATTTAGCACATTTTTAAAGCAGCTTTTTATGAAAGCTTGGCATTTCTACATAATAAAACAGGTTTTAAGACATGAAGCACCAACATAAGACCAAGTTATTATTCCCAAAAGTTTTTCTAATAAGCAGCAAATGGTGTCCTGATGCCCCTTTACACATTTATACTGCATGTACACACAACAGTATATATACTCAGTAGATTGAATTTCATACATTTCATGGCCCCTAAAGGAAGCCCTGTTTGTTAAAAAAAAAACCCTGCCAGAGTCATCCACAGTGAACTAGTGCATTAAACCCATTAGCAATGAATCGTCTGGCTTCAAGACTGACAAGAAATAAGTAATTTTCCTAGAATTCATTATATTTCATGACAGGAAAAGGTCAATCCATGACCCTTCTTTTTACTCAACCGACAATATAATGCAACAGAGCCTGAAAGGGGTGTAACGATGTCAGCATTGTTATTATGTAGTAATACTATGACCTGATTGCCTTTAATGCCGACAAAGAAACCATTTATTTAGTCTTAATGAGACTGCTGTCTACATGTTTGTATCCAAAAATTGGAAATAAAAAAAAACGTATGAAACTTTGACAGAGATGATATCAAAGTAGAAGTTTGTGATGTAAGATGTGGCTATCGAGATATTAAAGTAATCACGCCAACATCACACTGCTGTTATTAAGGGAAACATATGTTTGAGCTGCTTCCATACAAATGCACTGTGGTTTTCTTGCAACAGTGATTGTCAATTATGCACATCCATGTGCATCTGTTCATAAAAACAAAAGCCCGACAGCTGGATAAAAACACTGCTCCAAGTTAGCTGATGAACATTCAGTCAAAGTCTGGAGTTGTTGCTTAATAGTTCTTTAAAAAAAAAAGACAAATATTAAAAGAGTGACAGGACACATGACACAACAAGGCATCTATTAAACTACTTTAATGGATGTTGCTATGGCAAATATGCACCCAAGGCAAAGCAGGATTCAATTTATTCAAACCATTATATCCCTCAAAAGAATTCTACTGGAAATGGAAAGCAGAAGCCTTGGCAGTGCATTCATTTACATTTATGATAGGACAGTTTTGCTGGAGGTATCCGCTTATACAAAAATAATGGACAACCTCCAGCAACAGGAACTTAAGTATTCATCATGGCCTTATGCGGAGTAATCACAATAACACCAGCAAATGTATTCGTATGTGTATGCTGACCGTGCAAGCCATCCTCTGGGAGGTCCGCATCCAGCATGAGATCATTATCGTCCAAATCTCCCGTTCCCAGAGGGTCCAGGTTGTTTAGGATGTCCTGCGAATTACAAAATTGTAGGTAACACCTCATTATAACACATCACACAGCACAGTGGAGACACTGTGAATACATTAGAGTCATATTCTGAAAAGGAAACTGAAGGAAAGGTAAAATGACAAATGGCAGAAAAGAAAATAGAAAAAACAACAGGGTTTGGCTGCGTCGAATAAAGGTTTGTCAGCATGTACTGGCTGCATTCTTAAGGGAATTTTGAAACATACTGTAAAAAAAAGCATCACACAGTTGTTAATTTGTCATCTGTCCATCAATGATGCAAATCTCATGTCCAACCACATCCCAGAAGTTATCTGATGAATTAAGTTTTAAAAGTTATAGAGGCCACTAGAATTCACGGTCAATATGGATATACTACAGTAATAATGGGAGGACACTAGGGCTGAACGATCTATCGTTTTCGACCGAAAACCGCGATCTCAAGCAACGCGATTTTAGGAATGTCAAAGCTGCGGTTTTTCTTGGTGCATATTAGCCCAATAATTCCTCAATAATTCCAATGCATGCTCATGTAGAAAGGCTCTGTGTCGGCTATTACCAATCAGAAAAGGCTCTGTGTCGGCCAGAACCAATCAGAAAGCTGAAAGGCTGCGCGTGACCAGATGACGTTTTCAGTGTAGCTCGTAAGCTCGAGATTCAATTTCAAGATGGCTGAAGCGGGAGCAGACGCGGAGCCGACAAAATTAATACCAAAGAAAAACAGCACGTCGGTCATTTGGCAGTATTTTGGATTTGAGGCCACTGATGAGCACCAGAAACAGGTGATTTGCCAAACATGTCGTGGGAAAGTGGCTACATCGGCTGGCAATACCACCAATTTACATCGTCACTTGAGAGTCCACCACCTTAACTTGTATGAGGATTGTATGGCGAAAAAGAGCCTTGAAACATCAAGTAGCAGTGATACTTCAGCAAAACAGCCAACCATAACTTCATCCTTTGCCAGTTTGACGCCTTATGAAAGAACTAGCCGAAGACACAAGGAGATTACCACTGCCGTAACGAATTACATATCGAAGGATATGGTGTCTGTAAACACAGTAACCAAAGACGCTTTTAAAAGTTTGCTACGCACAATGGACAAGAGGTATGTTCTACCCTCCCGCACCTACTTTAACCGAGTCGCCATCCCACAGCTGTACGGAGAATGCAGGGCCAAAGTTCTAAATGAGCTGGAAAACATGGAGTTTTACGCGTCAACTACGGATCTGTGGTCAAGTAGAACGACCGAGCCATACATGAGTTTGACGGTGCATTTCGTGAATGCAAACTTTGAGTTGAGAAGCCGCTGCCTGCAGACAGCATACTTCCCCACTGACCATACGGGGGAGAACATTGCAACTGGGCTTAAAGAGTGCTTGGCAAACTGGGGCCTAAAAGAAGAGGCCCAGACCTGCATCACAACAGACAACGCCACGAACATGGTCAAAGCGATGGAGCTCAATCAGTGGACCAGACTGCAGTGCTTCGGGCACCGGCTGCATCTTGCAATTGGTAAGTGTGTGTGTGTGTGTGTGTGTGTCCAAATTTACTGTGTAAGAATTAGTGTTATCATAGTCTCTCAAACACAGTTAGGGCGGGGGAGGGGGACAAAGCGACCCTATGTTTGTTTTCACGCTTTTGTTAGCTGACCAACTGTTAGCGCAATGCTACCGTTTCTCCTACCTATAAAAATAAACGCTTTCATGAGTAAACTTTGAAACCTCCCAATAAGCTACTGCTTGCTTCTGTTTAGCTACGGAATGCCAAGGAACAGAGAGATACAAATGCCGTTTCCCCTAAGCAGGAGGTCTTCAACAGGGTTGTGCGCGACCCCTAGGGGGTCTACGGAGGTACTGCATGGGGGTCGCGAAAGTTTTGGTTGATTAGACTTTTTTATATATTCCCCCCTGCAACTTTTTTCATTAATTGAGATGTCTTTAAATACACATTAACATGAATTAACACAGATAAATGGAGGCAGAAGATGTCTTTCAGTCATCAATGCTCACATTCAGTGACACAGCTCTTTCAAGACAATATTTCATTCACAGCACCTGTCCCATCAAGCAGGAATCAGAATCAGAAATACTTTAATAATCCCAGGGAGTAATTATTTTGTTAAATCACTCCATCTGTAATAGAGTGACTATAGGAGCAGTTTTATATAACACAATTTCATACAATATATATAATTATGGGGTCCCTGCTCCATCTCGCCATCAGTTTGGGTTCCTTGGCCAGGAAAATGTTGAAGACCCCTGCCCTAAGCTTATTTTTGACACACTTTAGTAAACAAAAAAATAATAAATAAAAAAAAAAAAAAAGCAAATGACGCCAATGGTATTTTGTAGCAGATATGAGGATGGCTGATGCCACTTTATTACAGATTGAAAGGTTTGTTGTGTTTTAGTGGATTGTCGAATAAACATATTGCTGCAAATTAATCACCAGTTACAAATTAATGTATGGCGAATTACTTAATGTGATAGCACCACCTGATGTCTGCTGTTAAAAAAAGTTATGAAGTAGGCTTATCTGACTGTATGTAATGTTTTTCCCAGAAAATGCAGTCAAAGATGACCAACGCATCAAACGGGCCACAGGACTGTGCAAGCAGCTGGTAGCAGTCTTCAGCCACAGCTGGAAGAAAAAGGCGGCGCTAAAACAGGCACAGGAAGACCTGAATCTTCCTCAGCAGTCAATGGTCACCGAATGTCCGACACGATGGGGCTCCCGGCAGAAAATGATTGAGAGGGTGTTGGGACAGAGCAAGGCACTGTGCCAAGTTCTGTCTGAAGACAGGAAGACGCGGCACCTGGTCCCGACTTGGCAAGACACTGATGTGCTTGAATCTGTAAACAATGCTCTCGGTCCTCTTCAGGAGTTCACAGACGCCCTCTCAGGTGAGGACTATGTGAGCGTATCCTACCTAAAGCCAGTGCTCCACCTGCTGAGAACAGCAACACTTGCTGTAACTGACCAAGACACAGATCTCACAAAGGAGATAAAGTCAAAAGCTCTCCACTACATTGAAGAGAAATACAGTGACCCAGCGACCCAGGAACTCCTGGACATTGCATCTTTCCTCGACCCAAGATTTAAGACCAACTACATTAGTGAGGAGAATGTCCAATTCATGAAAGACAGAGTGAAGATGGAAATGGAGCAGTTGGCACTAAAGGTAAGCTGTCCTTTTTCTTCACTCTTTCAAAATAAAACAAAAAGCTGTGTTTTTTCTATATATGTTTTTGAATTATACTGTAAGACCAAGGCAACATTTCAACATCAATGTCAGTAATCACAACTAATTGCAAAACATTATGCCTCTACTGTGTGTTGCAGGAGCAGAGGGCTTGTGTCAAAACCCATCCCATGCCACTCAGTACAGAAGAAGAACCACCATCCACCTCTACAAAGCGAAAGCGGTCACTGGGCAGCTTTTTCAAGGCGGTCCCTGCTTCCTCTACTATGCAGTTGGAGGATACCATTAAAGCAGAACTGGACAACTACCTCATAACTCCTAGCATTGATGGAGAGCAAGATCCACTGGCCTGGTGGAGAGTGCACAATGTCAACTTCCCCTGGCTTAGCAGGTTGGCTCGTAAGTACCTTTGCATACCAGCAACAAGTGCACCATCAGAGAGACTGTTCAGTGCCAGTGGTAATATTGTCACATGTCAGCGTGCAAGTCTGAAGCCAGCAAGGGTTGACATGTTGGTTTTCCTGGCCAAAAATCTCTAAAGAGATGTAGCGATGAAGGGGAACATTGTTTTTTCATCTTATCCTGAAATCCCTTACTTGCACTTACCGGGACATAACTTTGTTCATCTTTTTTACTTATCTTTTGTTTACTGACTATGTAAAATAATTTAACCATTCTGGCATCATTTGTTGTGAGGAAAATATAGGATAATTTAAACTTTAATACTATTATTGTACTGTTATTTTTTACTACCTTTTATGTTTCAATTCCTCTTGCCACTTTATTTGAAGAAGCACAGGTTTCTAAGTACAGGGGTTGTATTTCTGTAACTGCTCTGTTTATGTTCATAAGCTAGCTCCTTTGAGCCATTTTGCACTTCTTTTAAGGTAAGACTTCATTTTTGCTCAACTTTGTTGTTATATGTTATATTTTTTATGAAGCTTATGTTATTTTACAAAGTGCAATTGTTTTGATGCTGCTGAGCCATTAATATTTTTTTAATGAAAAGTGTAAAAGAAGCAAAAGTTTACTTAAGAGGGCTCCCGTCCCTTTGTAATTTTTATGTAGCCTACGTTATTTTACAAAAGTGCAATTATTTTGATGCTGATGAGCCATTGATGCTTGATATTTTTTGTTAATGAATGTAAAAGAAGCAAAAGTTTACAAAGGAGGGTTCTCATTTTATTTGACTTTTTTGGATAATATAATTTGTTTCTTAGGTGCTTGAATAAACAGTCTTGCATTTGAAATATGTTGCCACCAGTTTTCATTCTTGCATTATCTTAATTGAATTCATTGGTTATATAATTATTAAATATATATTAATTTGTACTGAAATTTGATAAAAAAATAAATCGTGGTTGAAATCGAAACCGCAATCTCTGCCAGAAAAATCGCAATTTCAATTTTTTCTTAAAATCGTTCAGCCCTAGAGGACACCATAACAAACTGTCGTTGGCCAGGTCATGAACGTTATGGACACAGGCTCTTACTATTTTTCTGCCTGTTCGACTACCGGTCATGGCTGACACAAGGAAAAAGTTTAAACCTTCTGAGGAGGCTAAAAACAGAGAACGTGAAAGGGATCCTGCGCAAAGGAAAACAGGAGTCGATCTTGAAAAGGATTGTTTTGTTTCTGTTTTTTCAACTTTATTATTAGACTGGTAAGATAACAGCAGGGAAAGGTAGCAGGCTACAAACAATAGCTAACAGAGACCCAGTTGCTGTTGAGCTCTCCAGAGAGCAGCAGTGTTTCTCACAGCCTCTGAGTCGAACCCAGACGCCCAGCTCAATCCCC